GATCTTACAGTTTGAAATTTAAACGATAGCTTCTGTATAGTGGACCAAGATACGGCTCGGTACAGTTTATGTTCAGCAAGGGAAAATTGTGTTAATTGAGCAGAACCTTTAAAATGTACAGCAGACAATTTATTCAGTTGGCGCGTATTCCTGTTGAATTTGTAGCCCGTTTATGAGATTTGTCTACTCAAAAATATAATAATTTTTCCATAGCTGCTGTAATCTTAGGGTATCTGCTTTTAATATTTCCGTAAAGTTTAGGTTTACGCGATCTCAGAGAACAATGTTCAGCTGACAGCACGTAGACCAGCACGTAGTCTTTAAATATATCCACATCTGACACTGGTTTTGTGTATTTATCACGTCTTTAGTAGACGCGTGATTTAAATACATTATGATGCTGTGTCCTTTGAATGTCGCTTTGAAACTCAATCGCTTTGTAAATGTGACTGGTAGTTTTAATATCAGAGGAGAGTATTTTAAAGCTCGATATTTTTCAATACCATTAGCATGTTGTTTTTTTACCAATCAGTTGACTGGCTTCTTTGTGCAACTACATAATGTCTGCAGTTAAATATAAGTTTACAAGCAAGACCGGCGATTTCGAATCTTACGATTCTCATCAGTTGCTATGTGGTGGGATGGTTTAGGTGAATTCTGAACCAGTCCGTATTGCTTGATTTGGTAACCGTTTATGATCCTCCCTGGTTTGTTTGGAGGATCTAAAATGATGCGGTTTGATTGGTTCCTTGCAAAAAAACAATCAAAATGAGAAAGAATGGCGAAAGCGACCAGTCTTTCAAGAATAGGTTCACTGCCGAAAGATCGCGGCAATTTGATCTTTTGCAATCGAAAGAGGTTGCCGACCAAAATGCAGACGGCTGCTCGAAAAGAGCATGTGAATTTCTCAAGCCAGGATATCAGCTTAAGCCCAGTGATGGCAGGAGATTGAACTCTTCGATTAAAGAGCACCAAAGTATGCTTGGAAAACTGAAAAGCGTAGTGAAAGCCTTGAAAGAACATGATTCTACGCTTTTCCAGTCTAATAGACTTATCTTGAAGCAAGGAGAAGAATTTGCTCACTACTTCAATGTAAAGCAGGTCAAGTGCGTCGAGAGGCTAAGGTGCAAAAGGTAACGCGGGATACAGAGACACTAGAAGAAAGTAAAGACAGTTTTCGTAGCATTTTCAAGGGCCTACATAGAGACATCAGCAAGGGAAGAAGACAAAAAGAAAACCGTCGAAAATCGAATGCAAGAAAAAAGAAAAGGTTTGAAAACAACGTTCAATGAGTGTATAGTATTTGTGTCGGAAACCCGCTTAATAATGATCTTCCGAAATGTCTTCTGTATCCTCCTTGCCTTGCCGTCCCTGAAGGGTGCATCGACGTTGAGAAAGTTTCCGAATTGCTTTTTGATCGAGAAACGGCATACATTGCCCAGCTCTTGCAAGGAAACCATTTCAGCAACGCCGCAGGAAGCAGAATTATCACAGACCTCAAGTCGGAGGTTAGAGATAACGTGTACTGCTTCATGTACCCTGAAGAGTATGCTATGACTGAAAACGACGAAAGCGACTCTAGCAGCAGCACGAGCGATGAGGAAGAGCTTGGCAATGATGACGGAGAGGAACATGAGCAGAGAGACGTTGCACAGCACTAACCTGATAAAAAATCTTTTAATGATAGTTTCCTAGCTTTGAGAATTGTTGTCGTGGAACTGAACGCTGTAATGTAAACGCAGAACAAAAGTTTTTGATACATTTATATACCTTTTGCTTGTTTCTGTATATGTAGTTTTATTTAGTAATAAAACATCTTGTCAACTCTACATGAACTAAAATATTTCGCGTGACCCCCCTTCCGTCCATTTTTTTTGGGGAAGCCCCCCCTTTTAAGTCGTTTTTTTTGGGGGGGGTGTTAAGAAGGGCAGGGTTTTTCAGTAATGCCACAGAAAGCAAAGCCTTTGCATATCTGTGTTCAATAAACAAGACAGCAAACGCTTGCATTTGTTTTGTCTTTTGAGATCAAGGACTTTTTTCATTATCTTTGCTGCAATGTTTTCTAAGTTCTTTTTGGAGAGATTTATACAGGAGACGAAAGTCTATTTAGAGCAAAAAAAGAAACAAACAAACAAAAAAAGAAAAATGCCAACACGATTTCATAAATTATAAACCATTTCCAATATTTTTCCAAGTAAACCTTTCGGTTAAATAGTTCTTAACGAAATAAAATTAACGAGAAGTTTGTTTAGGCTCATTTTCAGCAGCAAAAGTGTTTCCAGTGCGCACCTTGCTACTGTTTTGTCAAAAGTATGTTATCTACCCCTTTATATCTGGCCGATAGTTTCTTTCTGATTCGATAAGTTAAGGAAAAACTCTGAATACAGTTCCGTCAAAGTTCGTGTTTCTGGTACTCTGCTATTGGAGCCAAGACCGAAAAATGGCAGGTTAGGCTTGCTCTTGTTCAGAGACTAAGCAACTGCGGAAGATGGTTTTTCATACGCTCCATGCACCAGAGCAAGACTGAATTAAACTGAATTAAATCTGATAACGTTTGCCATTCAAGCAATATCAAGTTAATAAAACTCTTGGTTTATAGTCAGAGTGAACTTCCGGCTAAGATTTACTGAAACTCGGATGGGTATTTTCTTCACAAGTCAACCATATTTTCGGAAAACGTGTCTTTCATTTTGTTTTACTTTTTTAAAATAGTTTACTTCATGTCTTCATCTTATTCCTAACTTTTTAATAAGTGCTTCAAATCTTTATTCCAGGTGCCATCATGCTCAGATGCCAGGGCAGGATTTCGAACGGACTTTATGTGACGTATTATTAAATCAAACAGCTGTTCTACTGGAACATCTGCTATGTACAACATCTTCTGGGAGTGCTTATATGATGATGTCATGGTCACAATATTGCCATATGAAATTGAATTATCAACACAGTAGTGTTTCTGTGAGAAATTCAGAACGGTGAAATTTGATTTTCCAGTTTTGTAGATAAATTTCGGTATGGTCTATTTTAGTATTTTATTTTTGCTAAAACAACGACTTTTGAACTAGTATAGCAAGAGTATTTCTCTATAATAATCATTTTAATTTTGAAAAAGTTGTTCAATCCGTTAGTCATGTTTACATCGCAGAGCAACTTAGCCCGGCCTAGCCTGCGAACAGCAGACGCATTTCCGGTCGTCGCTTCTCTCCCTCCGAAAAATAGCGGAGCGAGAGAAGCGACGACCGGAAATGCGTCTGCTGTTCGCAGACTAGACCCGGCCTCGCATGACTTGTTGTAATAAACAAAATCTCACAATTACAATTAGTTTATTCTTACCATCGATCCAATATTCCTTTCTCAGTTAAGAAAAGCTTTTTGTTATATCAAAAATCCATTCAAACGTGACCCCATTTCGTGTCGTTTTTCTCATCCCCACAGTTTTACTTAATGAATTCTGTTAAATTACAAACTTAAGTAGCACTTACAAGTCCGGGTTACAAGTTTAATAAAATAAAATATGCTAACTCATCTAGGTGAACATACACGACTCGACTACCATAACTCATTGCAGCTATGACTTCACAAGTTGTGTGTCCATGCACTTAAACGCCTAAATCGTGATTAAATTCCGCGTTGCCTATACTGTCTATATTTCATTGTTGGGATATTACATGTCTCTGTCAACTTCCGCATGTTTTTTCATTTCTTAGTGTTCGTCCTTTAACTATAGTACTTTTTGCAAAAAATACCATATATTATTTAAAAATTTCTACATATAACACTACCTATGAGGAAACATAATCATTTGAGACCACACGACTGTAACATGGGCTGGTGAGTTGGATCTGTTTACAGCCTGTTAAGCAGGATATCACAAAGACGGGATGATTTTATATTCGTAAAATCGAACTAGTGGTTTATTATCAATGCTGCGTGCTGATTGGTTGAGCTACTACTAGGCCATATGTTATAGCCCACTAGTAGCGAAAAGCGCCGGCTTTGAAAACCAGAACAATGGCGGCTGAAACTTGTTTTGTTAGTTAAAGTTGCAATTTGTCTCGATATTTTTGACCAACTAGTTGGATTTTACTAAAACAATTATTTCTCTCGCTCTCATGGCCTCTGAGTCATAAGCCCATTCTATTGACTCAGAGCCCATTCGGGCTCGAGGAATAATTGTTAAATAAATAATAATAGCATGGTCTTAGTTCCATTGCATGCCTCTGGCATCCAAGTTTCACTGTGTTTTTCGTTTCATCGAGTCTCTTCATTTATTACTAGGACAAGTCCAGTTTGAATATCAAATAATTTAAACTTTTTCCTTTTCTTTTTTATCGGTAGCAATTCCATAAAGACATGATTTGAACTAAAAGGAGGAAATCGGAGCTCCCGGAGTAAAATCCCCTCTAATAATTATGCCTTCTATATGTAGTATAACAGATTAAATATATAAATATTCTTTTCTCGGTGAACATACACGACTCGATTTCCATAGCTCACTGTAAGCATGACTTTCAAGTTGCTTGTCCACTCATGATGTAAGCCTTCAATTTGTAAAAAAAAGTCTCCAAATCGTTTCAAATCCAAAGTTGCATATACCGCCTCATAGCTCATTATTAATTCGGTTATTACTGAACATGTCATTGTCAACTTCAGCATGTTTCTTCTATTTCTTAATTTTTTTCCTGTTTCCTTCTTATTTGTTCGCAATTTTTTTCTAAAAAATACGTAATAAATTTTTAAAAACCTTAATGATGAGATGACACCCATATAAAAACTATCTGTGTTTGAACATCATAGGCGAGACTACCCGACTATATCCGTAGACAATGTCCTAAACAGAAGAATGCACGCCAGTTCGAGATTGATCGTTTCCCGCGTTTTCTGTCCTTTCTCTCCTCAATCTCCTGCTTGCTTCGCTGCCTCAAAAGTCTGAAAACCTGGAAATATTTCTGAAACCGGTATTGCCTAGAGAGAATGAGCTAGGTCATTCTCTCTTGATGTTATAAATCCGTCGTATCGACTATGACCTTCAGAAACATAGTATCGTCTCGGACGTAGGCATGATCGTTGAACTCCGACAAGGGACAGAATGTAGGGCACCCACTAGCGATGTTTGTTTCTCTTCTTGGTCTCTGGAAGGATGAGCTGTTCGGGTCAGGTCTGAAGGAATCGATCACGTGTTCTACGTTATTCTGATCCAGCAGCATGAACGTAACCTTCTGTCTGAATGGCCAGCGGAGTAACGCATCGTACTCACCACGCATGACAACAAAGAATACCGAGATGTGTGTCCCTCTTCCAATACCATCACCATTCAAGTAGATGCGCGCGCACATCTTGTATCCATAGCGACTGGTAAAGAAGCACGGGCTATAAAATGACGTCTGTTGCCCGGAGACGGCGTCTTCCCGCTTCTTAGCGAACTCGGTGATTTTCCAATTCAAGATTCCATCGTGGCTGGATACTTCCTGCTGCCTCACATATTCGTCCAAATCTGTCAGCATAACATTACGAAGTGCTAGAGAGTGACTCATGGACTCGAACTGTCTCTGTAGTCGATCGGTTGTTCCATTCGAACACTCCTGTTGCCTGGCTACGGTAGTCACTTTTTTCTGTAGTTCTTCATTTAATCTGTTTCCTTCAACGAGCAAAAGTTCGAGATTGGCCGTCTTTCCTTCTTCTGTAGTTATTCTTTGTAAAAGCTCTTTGGCGAGCGTTGAATCAAATGCTGTTGCTGAGTTTGAGCTATTCTGTCTAGAACTTTCCAGTTGCCTTATTCTTTCTTCTTGTTGTGCCAGTTTTGATTTTAGTTCTTCATTTTCTTTCAGTGTATTCTCAACTTGTTTAGCATAGCGTTCCAAATCTTTCTGTTTTGGTAAATTTACGCCATTCATTGACACGTGTCCAGATTCCCGCATGGTCTTCCCAACCATTGAGAAGAGCTGCATTATGGTCTGAAATAAGAGCATCAAGTGACCGGAAGCATTTTCCTCTTTATGCATTCTTCGTTCCTGAAGCTTCATAGTCTAAACAAAACGAAAACGACATAGTGTATTAATGCCTAGAAACTTTAATAAACACGCAGCCCTTCTAGAAATGTCCGAGTGATTGCTGACTTGGAGCATGCAGTCAAACTTCAAGCGGATTCAAAAGTGGTTCTTAGGAACCTTTGATCACGACTTAGTATTGGGCATTCCGGAGACTTCTTTTCTTCTCTTACCTGCACAATCTAAGGACCTTTCAGTAGGAGTTTACCGTACTAGACAAAAAAGCATGTCAAATGTCCCACTGACGTATGACGTATGATATTCCTCTGGCAAGGCAAAGTACTGGCAACTCCTTAAGTGTGGTGACCATTCACGCAAAAAACTATCAGCGTCATTTTTTTTTCAACGTTGGTCCATTTAATGAGCGATCCCCTCCTAACTGAAGTAATGTCAGGTATTTGCATACCTTAGTCTCAGGGCATCCAATTTGCGTCCATGGACAACTTGATTGTATTTCTTCACAGTCTCCATTTACCGGATCAATATGGGCACACATCTGAGTGAGAAAGATAGAAGCCAACGTAAAGTCTCAAACGTATTATTCCAGTGTTACTGTCTAGGGGCTAGCTGTTAAGAACCCGTTTACACATTTAAGCGTGCGTTGCATATCAAATTTGAATCTAGAATCATTATTTCAAGGAGTGTGTAAAAACACAGCACCAGGAAGAAGAAAACCTCTTGGAGCATAACTCACCTGAGAACGACGTATGTCCTTTCTCCCACATTCTGTGCAAGTCACAGGAACGGAGGGACACTGAGATTCTTGGTGATCCTGTGCACAATGAATTATGTATTAGTCATGAAGCTAGAGATCGCTCTGAACAACCAGGTTACTATGGTTTTAAATGAAGACCATTAATTTGAGTGAAAAGATCTTATATTTATGAGACCTTTTATTAGCACCGATTTCTGACGATTTAAGACGGTAGGAGCTTAGAGACATGAAGAAATTTCCAAAGAGTCAATCAGCGTCAGAAATTTATTGTTGTAAAGTAAGATGTAAAAGTACGTTAAATATAAATTACTTCAGGATCCTGTTCCAAATGAGGACAACTTAAAGATAAACAGCCGATTTCAGTAGAGTTATTCTTACCTCCAAAAATGCAAACTCAACAAGAGTTTGGCAGTGGTCACATTTTTCCATTCTGAATTGACACGACTTCTCAAGATGCTCCACTAGGCTTGATCTAGTCACCAGTTCACCGCATCCTGAATGCACGCATGGAACTTGAACGTACTCACACACAGCCTCGTGATCCTAGCACACGAGAACAGGTAATTGACAATTGTGACAATAATGGACGAGATAATAATAACGATAATTTAAAACAATACGCGTAGAATTGTATTGTAGAACCAGCAACTTTCCATCTAGGATCATTGTAAAACCAAAAAATATATAAGCTAAAACTCAGAGAAAATGTTTTGTTGCCAATACCGAGAAAAGAAAGACGCGCGCGATTAAAGTAATTTTGTTTTGTATTGGCTGAGACTTCATTAGCGTGTTGAAAAAGGACTATACTAAATGTACTTAAGCCAAATTGAAAATCGCTTTATTCCGATAATATTCTGACACACGTTGATAAGGTTTCTGCTCCAAACCAAGGATTAAATAATTCGCCATATACTTCTTTGAGTAAATTGAAGATTACTTTCCTCCAGTAACGTTCTTAAGTTTACGCGCGGATAATACACATAGGTAAATCTTGCGCCCTATACTACTTTGACCTAATTAAAAACCACTTTATCTCGTCTATTATATTTTACATCTCTACGTATTTCGTAGATAATCCAGCTGATACAAGCATGGGCATCACAGAGGGTCTATCTGAACAGTAAAGCCGATGGTTGAGATGGGTGGTCTGTTTAGCACCATAATAGAATCAATAAACCCAAGACAAGACAAAAAATCTGATAAAGCGACCTTGGCACTTTCATGACAAGATGACAAGGTGTACGGTGAAAATGTTTCAATATATTTTTGCCTGACGAGTCACCGCTTTTCAGTGTTTCACGGCTACAGATTAACCCGACTGGGACCGCCCTTCTCAGTAGGGCTGGAAGTGGGTATACATCATGACTTATTTGAACATCATATAGAAGCTTAGGTGTTACCTCTCGTTTTCTAAGCTCGTCTTTCCAATCACATCCTTCGTCTTGATGAATGCAATGGACCAACAGTGACTGTATCTCACGCTCGACAAAGCGGTCCAAAAATACCTGCAGAGTGATACGAAACAAAGTATTGCTACGGGAAAATAATAGTTACTGATTGACCAATGCGGAGTAAACGAAAAGGATGACACATAACGTCGAAGTTTACGGATAAGACAACATATTAGGGCCATTTATACGAGGAAAAATAAGACGCTTCTTAAATAAGACGCGAACTTTCCGTATAAACGGCACATTTCGTCTAAAATAAGACGCGGCTTAGCTAAGACGCGTCTTATTTTAGAACAGTCATTAACAACAGTTCTTAGATAAGACGCGTCTTAGCTAAGACGAGAAAAACTTCGAATAAATGACCTTCGTGTCTTACATAAGACGCGAACGCATAGTACGCGTGCGTTAATTTTTGGCGCGCCACGTTGGATTGCCGTTGCTACGGACAACGTTCACATGAAAACGAGTCAAAAACAGAAATAAGACGCGAACCATTTATACGAGCTGTTCTCGTCTTAGATAAGACATGCTTGTATAAATGGTACAGTTCGCGTCTTATTTAAGACGCGTCTTATGTAAGACACGTCTTATTTTTTCCTCGTACAAATGGCCCTAATGAGTCCTCTTTAGGTGATTTATTACAGCTACAGGGATTAGAATCACATTTACGACAAACCGTAAACCTCAGATTCAAGTTGAAAATTTTTCAAATTAGAAAATAAGAAGATAAAAATTGTCCAAATCACTTTTTGCGCATGAACGTGACATAAAACTACTTTTTTATAAGTAGATATGTTGAACAGTAAATGACAAAATCTTGGTCACGTGGTTCAAATTGACGTTTTGCCGTTTGCGGTAAATGACTCTATATTAACAGTATAATAGGACGTCAGCGTAAAATGGCACCACTGACGTCCGCTATCGGTCCATTTATGAGCTTTTTGTATGATATATGTGGCTAGTGATATGACGGTAGAGGTGGACGACAACAACAGAGAGACTTCCTCTGCTCTTTTCGAACACTGAGTGTGGTTTTGCGTCCCCTTCGAATTAACTTGAGAAAGAAGGATGTCACCGGCCAAAGACGCGATCACCCAAACCGAGACATGGTCTTACAATTGTTTAAAGACCTTTGGTTCTTGGTCCCGCCAGGGTTTGAGCCTAGGGCCTCCCGCTCAGAATTTTAGTCCGGGGCGTCCCGCTTAGAATTTCAGCGCTCTTCCAACTGAGCTAAAGAAAAGTTAAAGTATCGAAATGGGGTGGGGCGGGTTGAGGGTGGAATGAGGATGCAGCATCGCAACTGGGTGGCGAGCGGTTAAAGGTACGCAGACTAAAACGGGGCTGTGTCATGTTTCAGACCGCCGTAGTATGTATTTAGAAGATTTCACTAACGCCAAATTTCACTATCGATAAAAAGGCAAACCTGTTCTCTATGAATATCTGATCCATCGATGATGCACTTTCCAACTTCTTGCCTGCAAATGTATTAGGGACAGGGATCAGTGTGTATCAACCAGTAATAAGAGAATATTTACATTGTAATTACCTGGAATGTATCACATTATCATTTGCTAGTTAACTGTAGTAAATTTATTATCACCTGGCATGGCTTCCGTTTTTTGAAAGTTCCGATATCTTTTCGCGCCCCAAAAGCAGTCTTGTCGGTTTGCATGCCGAAACTATGAGTCAACGAAGCAAAAACTGAACGGTTTGTGAGTTAGGTACTGTGATACTATTCAACAGGTTTTGATTTCAAAGTTTGCTTTTGGGCCAGGAAAGTTACAGGACCCTTCGAGAAACGGCGCTCCTGGCCCCAGTTGTTCAAACGTTGGGTAGCGCTATCCACCAGATAAATCACCATCCGCTGGATAAGAATATATTAAGAAAACTTAAAATTCCTTTGTCCACTGGGGGTTGGCACGCCCGAGTTCAGAAAGAGATGTTAGAATTTATCACCTTGCTGTTACCGTCCTCAAAAAAACTTAAAATTTGGTCATTTCAAGTCGACGTCGTGCAGGGACGGCAAAGAAATGTCCAAAAATTCGTGATGTACGTGCAAAGTTGTTGTTTTGTTAACTAATCCTATTACTTTTTGAAGTTGCCGTTGCCGTTTCGGGAAAATAATACTGAAGCCCTTGTAATTTCGAAAATACTCAAAGTCCCCTAGGATGACCGAACAGTTACAAATTTAATAGCGATGCTTAGAATGATATGTGTTTCTAGAGAGCTGGAAGTACTCTGGAGTTGCCTAAAACCTGTTTTCAACGCATTTAGGAGGAAATCATCGTTCGGTGCCCCTGTTGTAAGCTCTGGGATACATTTGCGTAAGGGGTTTTAGGAGGCTTATAAACGGAGGGGCTTATAAACCGGAATACCCAGAAGGAACGCTTCGAAACAAGCTATAACAGTGCTGATCAAAATTCCTTTTTACATTTACTGGTTTTTAGCAGTCGGTTTAATTGTGCAGCTACACTACATTTGCATATAACCAATAACTTTTTTCTTTGCTGTCACGCTTGTCCGCTAATTCGTTGCATCGACGGATGCAATCAATAATGTATATGGGTCCTAACGAATGAAGAATCCCAGCAAAGTTGCTACCACAGATGCAAAATAAATAAATGAAATGCTTGATGAGAAATTTCGTCATGCAGCGTTGCGCAACATTCAGTGTATCGGCCAGCGTGAACTTCCGGAAAAACCGGGATCGCTCCAATAGAACCGGACTTTCTAAACTTGATTTTTTATCATTCACAAAGAATAATGAGTTCTTATACCTAAAGAAACAATGAATTCCGATGTCAATAAATAAATGTACCAGTACCAATACGCTCTTACGTCTATTTTAAAGCTCCATGACCTAACGTGATTACTTGCGGGAACCGGTCCTGAAATATATTTTTAAAATAATAAGTTCTACTTACTGTTACATGTAATGTTACGTCTTAGCCTTGCGAGACTGTGCTACTGTTAGATTATTGCTTTTAAAAGCATGATGTTATGTATTTTGTGCCTGATCTGGTAAAATTGCAAATTCAAATGAAGAATCTAAACGTAACAATGTTATATATAAGTAAATATTAAGAGAGATCTAGCTGGTTTCAGCAAGCACGTGACTTGGTGCTTGAGTTCTGAGAAGGTCTCGAAGCAGTGAGAATGCCAGCCGACGGGAGGGAGAGGACATTGAGAACGTGCAGAAGGCCATCTTACAAGCGTGGCGGATGAGTTTAACAGAAATCTGCTTAGTAAAACAGTTAAACTTGATCTGGTAACAGGTATGAGTCAGATGAGTCTGTTCGACCAAATACTTTGAAATTGCCAGTTTCAGCGCTTTCCCTATTTGCTTTCAGCGAGGACTTAGCACCGATATTAGTTAGTAAATGCGTAGTAACACATAATCTGTATTGGAGGTGGGGATAACATCAGTTTAATTAATACGGCAGCTGCTGATAGGGGATTCCCCGAACCTCGGGTAAATAACCTAGAAAGTACGAAATTGTGGCGGCTCCGGCTATGTTTTTAATAAACGTTGTGGGGTGGGAGAAATATATTCAAAAGATCGTGCGCGGAAAACTACGTATAAGAAGAAAGGAAAACTGGGACAGCGTGAACCCACAAGGAGGTTTTGCATCGACCTTATGATTTTCTCGTAATTCTTTCAAAATTGCTAGATATAACTGCAGAATTCAAGGACCAACAAGTGCTCATATGTAAAACTTACAATTGCATACAATTATTCCTTCTGGTCGCATGGCACCTAATCCAAAAAAGTAACGAATCTCCTTCTAGTAATCACTCGATCCATTCTTGTCGATCTAGTGTGGCATCTCTGTGTATCAACCTTTCTTCCATGACAGCGGCCCGGCAGTGACGAACACCGCCTTTCTTAAACCAGAGCATTGAGAGAGAACTTGGAAGGGCATGAGTGCACCGTCGAACTCAAGTCTATCCGTTGATTTACTGTCACGAGTTTTAGACGTAAAATGTGGTTGTTTTGCGTTACTTTTACCTTAAACATTTGATCGTCTGGACAAGAGGTTTGTTAACAAAAAAAATGCTTGAAGACGACTTCTTAAACACTGACCGTACCTTTCTCTTATTTTCCCTTGACAGTTGTCCTCTTTATCTTGATTCACACGGTAGAGTTTCAGAACTTTTTAATTATAAGAGAGGACAAATGCTCACTTTTATTTATACCTTGTAATACCGGCTGAAAGCTTGATCAATCGCTTTCAAGGCTTGATCTTCATTACCGGTGCTATCGGGGTCTGTAACCATATTTAAGCTAAAAATTCTGGGACACTGCTTTATTTGGGCCGGTTTTACCGGTTGTAATTTTTTAACCATCCCTGACGGCATGTCACACGGCACCTTTCTCGATCGGCGGATCTTGCTTTAAGCTTTATAAGGAAATAACGGCTGATGGCATTTGCACATGACCCACTCGACCATGCCAAGGTTTAGGTCAAGCTCACACAATCCATTTGATTGCTTTCACCGGTTTTATGGACCGGACGAAGCTGTATGAATAAAAAACGAATAAATGTAAAATGTAAATGTAAATATCATATTATCCACTCCCCTTAGGAGATTAAGGTGCAGTTTTCAAGTAATTAAGGAATGAGTGAGGATGCCCCCGTACTTGAGTGTGAAAGTAAGATAGACCACTACACCGGGCACTACGTGCCCTACTCTTTTACGAAGAGTGTGTGCGTTCTTTAACGTCCTACATATTTTATTAGATGTGCCAGGGCTTGTGGGACGGGGCCTACGGTTTATCGTCCTTATCCGAGAAGACTAGAAAGTCTAACCGTTTGCAAATGTTATAACAAAGGCTGCACTTTCTCCTCAGTTATTTAAAGACCCTGAGTGTTGGTCCGGCCGGGGTTTGAACCTACGGCCGGCCGCTCAGCAGACCGGCGCCGCTTATCCCATTGAGCTAACCGGGCGGCGGTTAAGCTAAAAGCAAGTAAGTCCAAGAAACTCAGATGGAAAAGTTTAGAAATAAAATCGTATCTCATTGTTATCTTGTTCTGTTCTTGCTATGTTTAGAAAAGAGCTTTGTTCAACAGGCTTTAACACGA